GCAGGTGGCAACAGCGACCCTCTTTCTATCCCTCATATGCCATCCCGTAGGGGGAGTAACACACCCCGTGGGCTTCCCATCATCCACTCCCAGGCTGCGGCCAGCCAATCAGTGGACGCACCGCCCCCTACCATGCTCCTCGCTAAGGGCAGCCTCTGCCCTCCTCCCCTCTCCCGCCTACCTCTCCCGCCTACCTTCCCCGGCCGCTGGTTGCACTACTCTACCCTCCCGTGTTCCACAGAAATCAGCTTCTTTCTATTCCACCCCTAAGTGGGGGCGCACAACTCTTGTCTCTGAGGCAGCTTATCTCACTCAGCATAGTGATCTCCAGCGCCATCACTGCTGTGCAAAGGCAGGAATTGTTGCTTCCTCTTCTCGGCAGTCCTGGGCACCGAACTTCAGCCTAGGGCCTTTGTGAAATACATTCCCCTTTCGAAAAGTTTTTTAAAAAGTGAGAAAAGGAGGAAAAAACGGCAACAAAACTTTTATAAATAGGGCGTGGAGGAGAGCTTGAAGGGAGGGGAAAAAAAAATCAAGCTATTTCAGGTACAGGTGTAAATTCCTATAGTGAATATGATCCATTATGTGTTTCTAAAGTGTACCAAAACTTCTGATGGAAAAACATGTTTGCCCTTTCTAAATATTTATTTTGAAGGCTGGGGATGGTGGTGCATGCCTGTAATCTCAGCAGGCTAAGACAGGCAGATTGCTGGGTTCAAGGCCAGCCTGGGCTACGTAGTGAGTTCAAGGCCAGCCTGAACTACATAACAAGAATCTGTCTCAAAAAAACAAACTAACAAAAATAATAAAATATAAGTACTTATTCATTTATTTATATTCATTTTGAGACAGGCTCTCATTAGGGTATGATGCTGCCGAGGTGAGGCTTAAACTCAGTTCTAGGATTATAGGAATACACCACCATGCCCAGTCAGGATTTCATTTTTTATGGTCAGGTGAGAATTTTTAAGTACTTTTTACTCTATACCTATGGTCACTCATGGTACTGTGGACACTACAAAAGCTGAATGAATATCTCTTCCATTTCAATAAGGAACTTACAGCCTTCTTGATAGCTAGATCTTACTCTCAGAAATAACCAGAAGCAGCTGGAGACATAGCATTTGAGTGCAGGCACAACCCTGGGTTCAATCTCTAGTCTGGAAAAAAAAAAAAAAACAGAAACAGAAACAAACAGTATTAGAGGGTAAGGTCTGAGTTATTCTTTCTTTTTTTTTGGTTTTGTTTTGTTTTGTTTCCAGTACCAGGGCTCAAACTCAGGACCTGGTACTTTCCAGGCAGGAGCTTAGGTCTCCTGAGCCATATTTCCAGCCCCAAAGGCCTGAGTTATTAAGCATATATATGAAGACCAGCAGAGTTCTGTACACCTCAGTGCTGGTCCTCTGGAAGTCTCAGCAGATGAAGAAAATAAAAATTGAAGAGAAAACAGCCAGGCATGGTGGTGCATACCTGTAATCCCAGCACTCAGGAGGCTGAGGCAGGAGGATAGTTGCAAGTTCGAGACCGGCCTTGGCTACAAAGTGAGTTCAAGGCCAGCCTGGGCTACATAGCGAGCTTAAGGCCAGCCTGAACTACACAGAGAGACCTTGTCTCAAAAAGACAAAAAAGGGGCTGGGGATTTAGCTCCACAGCATAAGCGCCTGCCTTGCAAGTGTGGAGTCGTGAGTTCGATCCCCAGTACAAAAAAAAGACAAAGAACAAAGAAAGGAAACTTTTTAAAAAAGAAAAAAATCATAGCTTGAGAAGAAGAGGCAAACGGGCTCGTAAGTCTAGGAAGAGACTCCAGGAGACTTTTTATCCTTTTTTCTTTCCCTAGCGGCTTATCCTTTGCAAAATTCTTTCATGTATATTAATCTCATTTTAGCCTTGACACCATCCAGCAAGGAGGTACGGTAGGGATCAAGAAAGGGGAAAGGATTTGAGAGAGATTCATGATGTAGGGCTTCAAGACCGATTAATCTTCTGGTAGCGATCTGAGGTTGACTCCTCCCACGCCCTCGTTCAGTTATTAAATCTCTCACAGAACAGATGCCTGCTGGATCTGCTACAGGTCCTGTCTCTGCACGGTCCTAGACTTCCAGGTTCCAGGCTGAGCTGCAGGGAGATGACACTGCCCTTGCCCAAGGGAAGAGGCAGGACGGGGTACGTGGAGCTGGTATTGATCACCTCTCACGGTCCGGCCTCCACCCTGGTGATCTGAGATACACATGGGACTCCTGGGAGAAACTGACAAGTTTCACAGAAAAGTTTGGTTTTCTTAGGACAGAAGTCTGAGACATGAAACAGACAACTATTAGCCTATAGATAAGCGTTAAAACTGAGAATAAGGATACCAAATGTGCATGCCTGTAATTCCAGCTACTTGGGAGGCTGAGGCAGGAGGATTGTGAACTCCAGCCCAGCCTGGGAAACTCAACAACTTAGCAAGACCTTGTCCCAAAACAAAGCAGTTTTCTAAAAGGGTATGAAATGTAATTCAGGGTAAAATTCCTGGGTTCAATCCCCAGCACTGCAATAAAAAGAAAAAATGTTAAATTAAGGGTTGGGTAGGACTGGAACTCTGAGGGGGTAGAGCTGTCGCATGTGTGAAACCCCGGGCTTGATTGCTAGTACCACAAAAAATAGATAAAATTAATTAATCAATTTTTTTCTTTTTTCTTTTTATCGGTACCAGGGATTGAACTCACGACTGTGGGGAAAAGGGAACCCTTTCTGCTGTTGCTGGGAGCATACACTAGTGTACTGTGGAAATCAGCGTGGAGACTTCTCAACGTAGAGTTCCCATTTGGCCCACCTATTCCCCTTCTGGGCATCTTCCCGAAAGTATTAAAAGCATCATACCACAGCGATGTACATGCACTCATGTTTATAGCAGCACAGTTTGTAACAGCCAAATCTTGGAAACAGCCCAAATGCCCATCAACTGGTAAATGGATAAGGAAGTGTGTGTGTGTGTTTACACAATGGAATACTACTCTGTCATACAGAAGGATAAGCTTGAGACCTTTCTAGATAAGTGCATGCACCTTGGGACCACACTCTTAAGTGAAATAAATCAGACACACATGGTTAAATAAATACCATAGGGGCTGGGGATTTAGCTCAGCGGCATAAGCACCTGCCTTGCAAGCGCAGGGTCATGAGTTTGATCCCTGGTACCGATAAAAAATAAATAAATAAATACCACATTGTTTCTCTGGTGTGAGAAGGTGAAAGTGTAGATAAGAATAAAAATGTGTAAGAAGTACTGTAAAAAGGAAGAAAATGTTCAGATGGGGAGAGGAGCAAGGGAGTGGGGAGGGGGAAAGGAAAAAAGGGAAGCAAAGCTTTTGTAAACAGGTAAGGGAGGAGGGAAGGGGGAACGAATTGAGTTGAATCGAGTTATATCGCGTACAGGGTCAAATTCTAAGACGAATGTGATCGCTATGTATTATCTAAAATGTACCCATAAAATCCGATTAAAAAAAAATAAAGACGTAGCTCAGTTTGAAGGCTCCTCCTTCAATCCCAGTACCAAAAAAGAATTAACGTAAACGTGTGTTTTCATACATTCTGACCATTGGAAAGTGAAGAGGGGAAACTTACAGAAGTTTGAGAGAAAAACTCTAGTTGTGATTAGGAAATCCCCGATTGTCAAAATGAAAGACCAGGGGAAAGCCAGGATACTTTTAGAAAAATATTCAAAGCAAGATTGCAGGAGGCTCTGTCTTAATGGCGTGCCAAGGTGAAACAGGCCCAAGAGGTAATTTCCCGGCCTGCTTCTATTTATTTATTTTTCACTTCCAGCTCTGAGGTGTAAAGTTGACTCCCTTAGATGAGTCATTCTTGGAGGGTGATGCTCCTGTACCTCCATGCATCAGAGTGAAATGGAGTAAGAGAAAGCTTCCTGGCACTAGACACTGAGTTACCCTTACTGTTAGCAAGGCGAGGTGAGGCAGCTTCTTGAATTTCTATTTATCTAGGTGGTTTTTGGAGCAGGGTCTTAGGTAGCTCAGCCGGGCCTCCAGCTCACCATCCTCTTGCCTCAGCCTCCCAAGTACTGTGATTACAGACATGTACCCCTGTACCCAACTCTTGAAGCTCTGACTCTCGAAATTCAAACGGTAGAGCCAGTAAGGGCCAAGGCTTAGTTTATTTTTGGTGTTGCAGGGGCAAAGCCAAAAGGAACCAGATGCTTTGTTCCTTCAGTCATTCATCAAACATTTACTGAAGCTTTACTAGGTGCCAGACATTGTGTTGATTGCTAAGGATGCATGCATGAAATAACAGTCCTTTGCTCCTAACGATCTTCCAGACTAGTGGAGATCACATTATTGGCTTTCTCCTGACACCTCTGAAAGCACATGCAGAATGCTGGGGGGTTAGGGCTAGAGCCAGGATGTCACACAGGCTGAGGCACTGAAGGTGCGCACATGAGTGCGGTTGCATGGGGGAGGGGGGTTGAACCTAGGGCACTGCAGACGCTAGACAAGCGCTCTACCACTGAGTTACATCCCTAGCTCCTCTCACCCCTTTAATTTTTTATCTTGAGGTAGAACCTCACTAAATTCCCCAAGCTGCCCTCCAGCTTGAGCTCCTGCCTCAGCCTCCCAAACACCTGGCGGGTGGAGGGGCTGCAGCCTGAGTCTTGGAGGGTGAGTAGGCAGCGGCTCAGTGAATTTGGAGTTGAAATCTCCAGGAGAACTCACAAGGGGGCTCGGAAAGTGGGAGCCCGGGGACGCAGGGAACTGGGGCTGCAGAGCGGCTGGCGTGTCACCGGGGTGTGATGAGATCGCCCCGGAAAGCCTGCTGTCCACCCCGAGCTGCTCCGCCAGCCCGCACGGACGGAGGGAGCGCGTGGTCCGGCCGGCGGCTCCCGGCCCGCGGTCGGGCGGCGGGAGGAGCCAGCCCGGCCTCCGCCTGCGCATCCGGACGGGACGCGGAGCCCGGGCCCCAGACGGCGGGCGCGTCCGCGGCAGCCCACGCGCGTCGCCGCCGCTGCGGAAGCGCCCCGGGCCCGCGCCGCCCTCGCGTGGCCGTGGCCGTGGCCGTGGCCGTGGCCGTCGGTGCGCTGCGCTCGCGCGCTGCCCGGGACGCAAGCCGCCGGAGCCCCGCTCGGCCACACCCTCGCCGCGCCGCCCTCCGGGCACCGCCAGCCCCGGCCGGCAGCCCTGCCCCGCCAGGCCCCAGCGCCACCCGGCCCCCGGGCTGCAGAGCCCCGCCCCCTCACCGTGCCCCACTCCGGACTGGCTGGCTCTGTCCCCCTCGCCGCGGCGTCTGTCTTCTCCTCTAACCAGCTCTCCGTGTCCTTAGATGAAGACAGAGCTGACACCGAAGTCACTCGCGGAGTGACTTCCTGCGCTCCGCTCCGCAGGCAGCAGAAGGGAGACAGCAGGACCGAGGGCAGGTAGGTGGCCTCGCTCACCCTCCTCTCCGTGCCTGTGTGCTTGCGCTTCTCCCCAACACAGGGCTGAGGGCTGGGGACTTAGCTCAGTGGCATAAGCACCTGCCTGGTGAGTGTAAGGTTGGGAGTTCAATCCCAGGAACCCAAACAAAACACAAAGTTGAGAACCAAAATAAAGCAGTTGGTGTCACCAGCTGGTTGGAGCTTGCTGGTAGAGGGCCTGTCTAGAGCATGCAAGGTGTTGTGGGTGTCACAAGAAAAATAAAAAAGGTATTTTGGAAAAACTGACTTTACAGTACTACATCTTTGCCAGTTGACTTCATAAACCTATATATTATTCGACAAGAAACAAAGCACAGATTTTTATATGAATACGATGGTTTGGGTGGTTCCTCCCCTTTCTCACCTCCAGCCCTGTATCTGGTAATTCTCCTCTCTGGTTTTAATCAGAATTTCCCTACAGTTTCGCTTTTGTCTTAGTGCACTCTGCAAAAGGGAAATTTTATTTTTACTGTTCATCCCAAAAGATAACTCTCACTGTAATGAAATTGCTGTTTAAGTCTAACCCACAGCTACCCTAAGCTTTTCTTTCTACCCCAGCTCCAACTCCTTTGTTTAGTTTTGTTTTTGCTTTTTAAACAAGGCCTTGCTATGTAGTTCTGTCTGGCCTTGAATTCTCTGTGTAGCCCAGGCTGCCCTCAAATTTGCAGTGATCCTCCTGCCTCAGCCTTCCAAATGTTAGGATTACAGCCAAATGTCACCACGCCAAGGTTAGCTCTAATTTTGATGTGATCGGACTAACTGGTTGTCATACTTGTTTTTAAATTACCACCCTGGACATCTCTGCATTATTATTATTACTATTATTTTTATCTAGCTTTCTCATAGGTCTTCCATGTTTTGAAAAGAAATGAACACCACTAGCCCTGAAAAGATGCTTATTAATGCTAAGCATGAGAAACAGGTTTTAGATATAAGAGATTATCTTGGTTTGTTGGATGGAGCGCAGGAAGACAAAGGATAGGACACCAATTTAGTCCAGATGTTTAGGGTGGAGCTTTTATCCCACGCTGAGGTGGGGCCAGTCCCTAACTGTCCTTCCTTCCAGCTAGCCTGCTCCTTTCCAGCCCCTTCTGATGGTTGCAAATTATCTTCTAAATAAAACTCACATATCTTAAAGGAAATAGAAAGTATTCCTAATCTGATTCACCCATCTCCCAATTTGTATCTGGAGATTTTCCTGGAGACTTAGATTCTCCTTCATCGTGCTGATTCTCCATTCTCAAAGCCCCAGTGGATCCCCTCCGCTATTTACATTTTCCCTACCTCAGCTTTTCTGAGTTCTGACAGTCTGCTTTATCTTTATCTGGGTCTCTGCTTTGCATATGGGAGGTTCCCTCCCCCCCAAAAAAATACCTCCCAGGATCAGTTGCCAGTGAAGAATTGTTACAGCTCCAAATTGTTCTCCTAGTTTCATTTTGTCTTTTTGAGACAGGGTCTCACTATGCAGTTCAGGCTGGCCTTTAGCTCACTTTGTAGGCCATGCTGGTCCTGAACCTGCAATGATCCTCCTGCCTCAACCTGCCAAGTGCTGGCATTACAGGTGGGTGCCACCACACCTAAAGTACTCTTGTGGTTTCTTTTGCAGTTGATTTCCAGTTTCATTGTGCTATAATATTCATGGAGTAGTTTTTTTTCTTTTTCTTTTGTTTTTTATACCGGGAGTTGAACACATGAGATAAATTCAATTCCTTTTCGTTTACTTAAGCATGTTCTACGTGGTCTTTTTGGAGAACATCCTGTGTGCAGCTGAGAAGAATGTGTGTTCTCATATTGTGGGGTGAAACACTCTAGATGTCAACTGAATTCATGTGTTCAGAAGTTTGTTTCAGTTCTGGTGTTTCATTGCTGATTTTTGGTCTAGTTGGTTTGTGAAAGTGGGGTGTTGAGATCTCCCACTACCCAAACTGATGTATTATTTCTTTATATATTTTTGGTGTGCACTTTAGTGTAGGAGTTCCTGCTGCACCAAACACTTCGCCTGGGTGTTCATTTCTGTTGACTCCTCTCCTTTATCCCTTCAGGTCTTACAGAAAGGAAAGAGTTCTGAGGCTCTGCTGCCTGCATTACAAGCCCAGCTCTGCCACTTAGAAGTTATTCTTTTAGTGGACAGATTACCTGGACTCTGCTGTAGTCTCCGTGTCTGTAAAATGGGTCTGACCACAGTAAATGCTTCATGGGGTTGGGGGGACCTCAGAGGGAGCCACAGCCCATGGCAAGCACCCGGGAGTTTCTGGCACATAGTAAAGGTTCTGGAGCTGTTAACTGTTAATATTGTTATTTAAAGATGCTTTAAAAATGCTAAGGGTGTGTGTGTGTTTACAGTAAATTTTTCGACACAAGATTTTTTGTAAATTACAGTAACTTTCTTTTTGCCCACTGAAATCACAGAATTATCATAAACTATCTAATTACTCTCTTTTAGCACACTTTTTCTATGAAACCTGACAAGGGACATATTTTCTTTTTAGACAGTAATTTATTTTTTTATATTGACAAGAGAATATCAAAGTTTAGTTACTAACATAGAAATGAAAATTTTCATATATATAATATTAACGATCTAAACCATGTGTGATGGCGCACACCTGGATTCTGGACTCCGGAGGTTGACGCAGGAGGATCACCATGAGTTCAATTTGAGGCTAACCTGGACTGCATAAAGGAATGCAAGGTCAGCCTGTGCTGTGTAGTAAGACCCTGTCTTAAAAAACAAAACATCTAGCTGACTGGAATCTTAAGTTTAAAACGTATATCAATTTGTAATTTTATTTTATTTTGATTTTTGGACAGAGTCTCACTGTGTAGCTTAGGCTGGCTCTGAACTCCCTGTGTAGGTCAGGCCGACCTCAAACTCATGTTGATCCTCCTGCCTCAGCCTTTCCAGGGCCGGGATGACAGGCGGATACCACCAGCCAAAAATTTATATTTAAACTCCACTTGCTTAAATTATGATAGCATTTATGCAACCCTGAAAAATACCAAAATATATATATATAATTGTTTACTTTGCAGAAGTAAATTTGGAACATCCAAATATGATGTAAGGGAAATGTTTAATTCCCAACCTACTAGACGTCTGATAAGCCAAGCTTGTGTTCTCTAAAAATCAAAAATGAATTCTAGAATCAGTGGAGGTTAAGGGTAGGAAGATACGTGTTGAGCGGATCGAAAGCTGCTATCAGAGGAACAGAGGGGTCCTGAGTAGATAACAGAGGGCCCGTTTTATAGGGAAGTATCACCGAGCAATACCCACATGGATGCCACATGGGCTGTAGCTGTGGTTAATCAGTAAGAAGAGTTGCTTAGGTAAAAACGATCCAGTGAGGGAACCAAGTCACAGAACAAGGATCATGCAGAGAACAAGCTTTTTTCAGGAAGTCTTGGTCTCCCACGGAGGTGACTGAACATTCAGCCTGGAGTTTGCCCTGCGAGGAAGTGCACAGGCCTGCTCATTTCATCTTTGTCTTGGGCCCTGGACCCCAACAGATGTCTCTCCAGCCACAGTTGAGATGTGTTTCAAAGGCCTAGGCCGATCTGATGGCCCATCATATTCCTGGCTAGTTTAACCATCTATAATACACAGATATACGGTCTGTACTTTATAGTTCAGTAAAGCTGTTTTTAAAAGCCTGTATGCAGGCTAAGTGTGGTAGCGTACATCTATAATCCCAATGTTAAAAAGGCTGAGGCAGGAGGATTGGTGCAGGTTCAAGGCTCTGTAGTGAGTTCAAGGCCGGCCTGAACTACACACTAAGGCACTATCTCAAAAAAAGAAAACAGAATCTTACAGAACAGTGGTAACCAGGGCAGAAGCCCAGACACCTGGCAGCCTTGGAGGAGACAGACACCTCCCGCTGCGGGCCAGATCTCAAGACAAAAGGCAAGGCAAATAAATATGGCCACATCCTGAGTATAAACATCAGGGATTGATATTCTAAATCGGTGTGGATCACCTTGAGGAAGCCAGGAGCCCCAGCCCAACCCTTGCAGGAAGAGTCACTGCTCTTTAAGCATGGCCTCTTGCTTGGGGACTCACTTCCTCATTCATCCCTGATATAGTCAGTTTACCTGAACTTACTGATTGACCATAATTCTGTCCCACCTCATGTCCGTCTGTCTGCCTTTTGAGTTCCCAGTTTTTCCCACCTTGGACACATCTCATCTTGTAGTTTTACTCAATAAAAGTCCCTAGAAAAGACGAGGCTTTGGCAACCCACTTGGGACCCCTTCTGTTTCTCTCCTAGACAGAAGCTTTCTTTCTATCAATAAATATATTCTGCTCTTTAAAAAAAGAACAGTGGTGGCAGAGCTATGGCATGCATGCTGTTTGGATCTCTGAGAGTTCTAAAAGGTTCACCATCATTGCTATCTAAGCTGTTCTGGGTAAATGACCAGAGAAGCTCTATATAAAAAAAACCTGCACACATAAAATTATTAACAAGAATCTTACAAGAAGAGAATGAGATGGGGAAGTGGACCCTAAGAATACATTTGACTTTTTAAATTCTATATCTGATGTTTTATAAAGAGCATAGATATGCTTTACTTTTGGCCTGCTTTGCCCACTTATGGAACCCCAGCACATGGGTTACGGAAAACAGAGGTTCAACAGAACTCATCAGATAAGTAAATAACTAATGTTTTTTGAAATATACTTTGTTTTGTTTTTATAAAGTATATTTTAAATGTAAAAAACAATGAAGTACATAATACCTTGATTGGTCTGTGTGTGACCAAGTCAAACCTAATTTTTAAAATCCATTTCGAAGACAGACTTATTGAAGTGTTACTGTTTAAGATCTATTCTAGAATATTCTGAATGGGTTCTGGCTTTAAAAATCCAAGCTCTGAATTTGATTTTAGACTTCAAAATTTGGCCATGCTAGGGATTTCCCTAGCTTATCTTTTAATCAGTCTGTCATAAAGTATGCATGGTAATTTATCTTCTTTATATAAGAAGATGAGATGTAACTCAGGCACTATGTTAAATGGTTTAAACAGGTTTTTTTACTTATATGTGCTATCAATTACTTAACTGAAGGTTTTTGTTTTGTTTTGTTTTGTTGTTTTGGCCCTAGGGATCGAATTCATGACCTCATGCTTGCCAGGCAGGCGCTGTACTGCTGAGCTAAATCCCCTGCCCCTACCTGAAGGTTTTCTGAGATAGTAGTGGAAATAGCACATTGATAAATGCAATCAAGGTTAAAAATTTGTGTTTGACCCTCCCCTATGGATTTCTTGTGTGCATATTAAGGTAAATAGTTAATGCATGTCTGAAACGCTAGCATGGCGTAAATGTAGATTGGTGGTTAAATGCGGTTACTAGTCATGTGATCCTTGTTTATAATACTGACATGTTTTCTTGCTGTGTGCTGAAATGGAAGTTATTTGTTATTGTTTAATGCAATGATAAATATAAAAAAAACCTTCCCTCGATTTTGGTCTTTCTCTTCTAAAACAGGGGTTCTTTACCTCTTGCAGGCTCTAAAGCCCTTTGAGATCTGACGAAGACCACAAACCTCTGCTCCATGAAAGGTACAGAACCTGTGAGGATGGTGCCTACCCTCAAGCTAACAATTCTGATTCTTAACCTCGAAGATCCAGAGACAGCTCCATATCCAAATTTGCACATTTGCATTAGTAGCATGTAATGTGACCAACCCTCTTCGCCTTCATATGGATGGTGACTCCATGTAACCTGAGATTTTGGAGATATCCAATCCTTTATTAGAATATCATATCTGGGGCTGGGGTGTGGCTCAGTGGTAGGGTTCTTTCTTTGTATGCACAAGGCCCCAGGTTTGATCCCTAGGACCACACACATGAGAAAAATAGAATATCATAGTCAGTTTGCTTCTCAAGGCATGAGATACTCAGATGGCTATCGGGTGACAGGCCAGTGATCTTCAGATTCACTTTAACCAGCGGTTTGGGACAGAGTCAAAACAAATCTGTGGCACACGCCCATAATCCCAGCTCTCGGGATGCTGAGGCAGGAGAATTGCTGCAAATTCAAGGCCAGCCTGGGCTACATAATGAGTTCAAGGCCAGCCTGAATTGCATAGCAAAACCTTGTCTCAAAAAGAAAAACAAAATCTCGAGGGGGCATTTTTCCCCAATCAGATTTTATTGGTACATTTTAGATATACATAGTGATCGCATTCATCACAGAGAATTTATACCGGTGTGTGATATAACGTGTTGCTTTTTTTCCCCCATCCTCCAACTTTCCCTTCAACCCCTCATTTACAAAAACTTTATATTCAGGGGCTGGGGATTTAGCTCAGCGGCATAAGCACCTGCCTTGCAAGTAGGCGGTCGTGAGTTCAATCCCCGGTACCGATAAAAATGAAAAAGACAAAAAAAAAAAAAACTTTATATTCATATTTTTCTTCTTTTCTCTTTTTACTTTCTCCCTCTTTCCTTCCCCCCCCCACCACTCCCTTGTTCTCCTCCCCAACTGAACATTTTCTTCCTATTTTAATTCTTTTGGAAAGATACCCAGAAGGGGAATAACTGGGTCAAGTGGTGGAGGGGGAGTTTTGAGACAGGGTCTCACTATGTAGTTCAGACTGGCCTTGAACTCATTATATAATCTAGGCTGGCCTCAAATGCAAAGCGATCTTCCTGTCTCAGCCTCCCAAGTATTGGGATTATAGGCATATGTCACCATGCCTGGCCCTAAATGTTTTTTTAAAATGCATTCAGCAGCTTTCTAAATTATTGAGATAAAGTCGTTGCATAATTATTTTCAGGTGATGTAACTAACAGATTGACTTTTTTTTTTTTGGTGCCGCGGATCGAACTCATATTCTCGTGTTTGCCAAGCAGGCACTTACGCCACTGAGTTAAACCCCCAGACCCTCAGATTGACTTTTCTTTTCTTTTTTTTTTTTACCGGTACCAGGGATCGAACTCATGACTGCCTGCCTTGTCTGCTGAGCTAAATCCCCAGCCCCTACAGATTGACTTTTCAATGTTCCTCTTTGGTCTTAGGGTCCTAAGAAGTAGTAACTATGGTTTTTAAAGAGGGTGGGACCCTCAATTCATGAAGGGTTCTTTCTCATGCATTGTGCTTCTGTGAGAACAAGGAAAGATGTTATGGTTTCTAATGTGGTTTGGGGCACGCTCCTGAGAGTGGGAAGATCAGTTGGGGGTCAGACTGCGAGGCTGCCTGAAAGACAGCAATATAGGGAAAAAGTCAGCATGAAATAGGAGAAAAGGAGACTGGAGGAAGTACCAAGTTTAGGGTGGGTATGGGAGCTACAGTTGTGAACACTTGAGGAGCAGGATATTCACTGATGAAGAAGCACCCAGGGGGGACACCAGAGATGGAGTGGGACCACGTCGAGCTGAGCACACCGCACACACGGGGAAAGGAAGGGGCTGGGGTGATTCCGGCCTCATCTTCAGGGCAAAGAATTAGCTGGTTCCCTTTCCTCCATCGGTGGGCTATGGGGGAAGAATCATTGCATTCATGTGCAATTCTGTGTTAGGCAGCTCTGTGCTACTGTAATAAATACCTGAGGAAATCTGTTTACGAAGAGAAAGGGTATTGCCTCATGGTGTCACCAGTTCCAGTCCGTGGTCAGCGGCACGTTATGGGAGGGCCATGGAATGGAGTGGAACAGGTCGCTCACCTCTTAGCCAGGAAGCAAGACGGACACAGCGGGGCTCCATCCAGGGCTCCCCTCACCGTGACCTGAAGACTTCCCTCCAGGACCCACCTGGTAAGGGCTTCACCACTTCCCACATTGCTACCCCAAGGAGCAAGCCTGACCGTGCGGCCCTCTGGGGAGCACGGAAGGCCTGGACTGTAACAAGGTCTGTAACTGACTTGGGCGGGGCTCAGGAGCAGAACTGTGAGGGGCAGAGTGAGTGAGGCAGGCCTTGCCTAGCCAGCCCTCCCAGCACCCCCAGCACCCCAGCAATGCTCAGTCCCCGGGCCCCGCCCACTCCCACCTGACCCTAACAGGATAAGGACAAGTGTGTGACAGGAGAAACTGCAGAAGACGACCATGGCATCTGTCATACACAAGTCCTGATTGAGCTTAGTTGTTGCATATTTTCCGTGTTAATGAAAATAGAGTAGGTGGTGGATTACAAAATGAAATCAGTCTGAAATAATCGTTGGAGATGCTCAGCTGTGAGTGAAAAGGCTGAACAGATCAGTGCATCGGTAGGGACCCTCCCCAGTGGAGAGTCCTGGAGGCCAAGGGGAGGAGAGGAGGGCGGTGCTGAAGAGGAGATGGGTGAGTGCAAAGGTCTGTACTTACAACTGCAGGGCAGGAAGGCTGCACTGGGAGGGGCCGGCTTGCCCAGTTCCAAGTGTTAATCTGACTCTGTTCTCTTTGATAATTCTGAGGATCGGACTAGACTAGCACCTCCCTGCTAGGCAAGTGCTCCACCGCTGAGCAGCCGAAACTTCTAGAAAAAGGAGTGGGAAGGACACCATGTGTAAGCCTCTGGGATGGGCAAAATACATTAGGAGGAAAAATCTATTAGGGCATCAGAGGCGTCGCTGTAATAGAAGAATGTCTGTGTGGAGGAGAAGTCATGCTGAAGAAGGAAGGGATGGACAGACGGAGAAAAGAAGGGAGGGGAATGGGGCCTCCAGTCAGGCTCACGGAGTCTGTTCTCTTACATGACCCCAGGTGTCAAGAAAGTTAGCCGGGAAAAGCATCCTTGTCGTCACCCCCTGGATATGTTGTATTTCACTCTGAAAGTCCATCCACAAGGATGTGACACCTCTTTCCTAAAGAGCTTCTCCCCTTGATAGCTGCCTAGAGAAAGATCAGCTGGAGACCACATCTTGGTGCTCCATGCAGTGTTTGGCGGGGTTTTCTCTGATGTTCCGTGTCTGAACTGCTGGATGTGTCACATAAATGCATATGTGGGGTTCCTGACAAGAGCCAGCATTTCCCGCTTCTAATCACCCAGCACCGTGCCCCACAGCTATCAAGGACGGGGCTGACCGCTTAGGGAGGAGGTCCAGGTATCAGGCCGTGAGTTCGGAGATTGGTGGCAGGCCGTTACTAAGGACCAGCCTTTGGTGAGCCACTGATAGGAGGCCTGAAGGGAGGAGAGGTGTGGCCATGCTCTGCACCTGCTATCAGGAGCACAGAGATGGCACCCATAGACCAAACTGCTAAAGAAAAATAGTCTCACAACTTCCACCCTTCCCTTTCCTCTGACCTGGTTACCCTTCTTCAGGTTCCTGGTGGAATCATTTTTCTTTTATTTTTTTTTGTCTTCTTGAGACAGGGTTTCACTATGTAGTTCAGGCTGGCCTTGAACTCACAGGGATCCCCCTGCCTCAGCCTCCCGAGCGCTGGGATTACCGGCCTGCCCCACCATACCTGGCTCTTGCCACTTTCTGAGGCAGATTTGAAAGTCTTCTCTCGTGACCATCTTTGATTGCTCTGTTGTGGTTGCCTCAATGCCCCGAATCCATTCAAAAGATTTGTCTTTCATAGTCACTTGGACTTGGGGGGAAGAGTTAGAAGTTGCACAGTGCCAGATCTAGAGAGTGAAGAGGCACCGTAATGCTTTTATGTGGCATAAATCACTAAAAATATTTTGTTTTGTTTTTGTTTTTTAGAACAAGATCTTTTAGCACAGGCTGGCCTCCAATTTACCGGGATCCTCCTGCCTCGGTCTCCTGAGTGCTGGGATTACAGGCAGGCCCCACCACACCTGGATCCATAAGCTTTTTGAATCGATGCAGGACATAGGGTACGCCACAAAGAGACACTAATGAGATAGAGCTCCCCAAACTTTCCTAAAGTTGCAAGAACAGTGGAATAAATGTGCTCAAAGTCAAGGGGCAGATTTTGAGGGAGATTAGTGGCAGTATGTTTTGTTTTGCTTTGCTTTTTACATGTTGACTTTGTATTTGAATCTCATTATGTTTTTTATCACACCTCATACACTAGATTAAAATAAGAAAGACGCTGAGTGTGGGTGTGCTCCTGTAATCCCAGCACTCTAGTCCCGCAGAGCCTGAGGCAGGAAGATTCCAAATTGGAGCCCAGTTTAGGCAATTTAGCAAGACCTTGGCTCAAAATTTGAAAAGGCCCGGGGGTGGGAGTGTAGCTCAGTGCTCCCTGGGTTTAGTTTCCAGCACTGCACACGCAAAATGGAGCAAAACTCAAAAGAGCAGGTCAGCATTCAAAGATGGATCACGTTTCAGTTTGAAGTTGTACACATGGATCTGTGAGCCCTGGAGGCCAGGACCCCAGCTTTGGGAAAATGACGGTGGCAAGGCAGACCACACGAAGGAGGAGGAAGCTAAGACGGCCAGGCAGTAACCTACTGAAATAATCCAGGCAAGAGGCCATGGTGTAGAACCTAAGAGAGGAAGTGGATGTAATGGGTGGGAAATGGCCCAACTGTTCTTAGATGGACCTGAATTAACCCAATGATGGAATACTATTCAGTCATACGAAGAGTGAATACTAGCTAGGTGGGGGAGTGCACTCCTATAATCCCAGCACTCCGGAGGCTGAGGCAGGAGGATCGTTGCAAGTTCGAGAGCAGCCTGGGCTACAGAGGGAGCCCAAGACCAGCCTGAACTGCATAGTGAGACCCCGTCTCAAAAAGACAAAAAAAAAAAAAAAAAAAAAATACAGTGGCGGTGCCCAGTGGGACAAGAATGGGGGTTTGATGCTTAAAGGGTACAGAGTTTCAAGGGGTGCGGGGTGCTTTTGATAAAAAAGTCCTGAAGATGGATGTGATTGAATAACAATGTGAATGGATGGAATGGAATTGAACCGTGCGCTCAGTAATATTAAAGCAGCTTTATGCTGTGTATATTTTATCACAGGAAAAACCCCCACTGTTGTGAACTTGAAACAAACACAAATGTGAGAAATGAATTTGAGAAAAAATTTAAATGTACATCTAAAAGAAGAGCAGAGGTGATCACCAAGCTGTCTCGAGTAACTGATGGGGCGGCTGACTGATGGGGACACTAGCCAAGACAAAGACCATTACTGAAGAAGAGAAGCCAGCCTGGGAAGAGCAGACTGTGATTCAGTCTGAGAAAGGGGAAGACTGAGTGGCTTGAAGAGTATTCCGTGGCAGATTCCTTAAATAACATTTTTTCCGGAGTCCTATACAATAAATGTACACTATTCAAAGTATGTGATTCAGAGTTCTCTCCGAAGGTCTCTGTCTCATTCCTGCCTTCCCGCCCCACCCAGGTCATGGCCCGTCTGCTGTTACAGGCTACTTTGCATTTTCTTGTATTGTATATAAATAGAAGCTCACAGTGTGTTGGGGGTTTTAATCTGACTTACTGTACTCAGCATGATGGCCAGAGCATCCATGTTGTTCTGAATGGCTGTGGTTCACTCCCTTTTGTTATAGACTGACAACTCTCCAGCTGTGGCCTCTCCAGGTGTGGCTGTGCCACATTGCGTTCACCCGCCCACCTTTGATGGGTGGTGGGGCATTTGGTTTGCTTCTGGTTTTCACTGTTACAGATAAAGGTACAGGACTGTGAATGTCACTACATCTAACTATGTAAATAGGAATAGAACAACTAGATCAAAAGATTATTTTTTTAAAGGAACCGTCCAAAAAAAAAACAAAAGAAACTCAGCTTTCCAAAATTGTACCATTTTACATGGGTTCATTCATTCTTTCTTTCTTTGTTTTGAGACAGGATTTGTAGGTATGCACTTCAGGGTGGCCTTGAACTCACTAGGCAGTCAGGGCGGCCTCAAACTTGCAGCAATCCTCCTGCCTCTGCCTGCTGTAATCACCGGTGTGTGCCACCATGCTTGGTTTCTACCACTTTAAAGACTGCATTGTCTTACGAGTTTTTGTTTGTTTGTGTGTTTGTTTTTGTTCCAAGGTTCAAACTCATAACCTTGCGCTTGCCAGGCAGGCGCTTACACTGCTGAGCTAAATCCCTGGCCTGTCCTACGAGTTTTACTAGTGCTTTATATAGTACAGATACAGTCATTTATCAGGTGTACATACTGCAAATATGTCCCCATTTATACCTTTTGCTGTTTACTTCTTGGCTCAGCTTTGATAATTCGCATGTATCTAGGAATCTGTACATTTCTTCTGTGTTTTCCACCTTTTTGGAAAATAGGTTCCTGTAGGACCTATTGTGATTTCACCCTTTTTATTCCTAACTGCATGAATTTGAATCTTTTCTTTCCTTTTTTTTTTTTTTTTTTTTTTTTTGATAAGGTTGGCTGAGGTTTGTTAATTTTATTTCATTTTTCAAAAAAACTGTTTGATTCATTGATTCTTTATATTGTTTTCTTAGTTTCCAGGGCATTGATTTTTGCTCTACTCTTTATAACTTCCTTCCTTGTACAACTTTTTTTTTTTTTTTTTTTTTTTTTTTGGTCTTTTTGAGACAGGGTCTCTCTATGCAGTTCAGGCTGGCCTTGAGCTCACTTTGTAGCCCAGGCTGGTCTCGAATTTTACAATGATCTTCCTGCCTCAGCCTCCCGAGTGCTGGTATTACAGGCTTATGCCACCATGCCCAGCTTCCCTTGTACAATTTTTGGGCTTAATTTGCTCTTAAGAACCATCCATGATAAGTACCTTTTTCTAGACATCTTCGGTTCCATATTAGGTTATTTGAGCTCTCTTTATTTTCCTAATATGGTCACTCACTGCTGTAAGTTTCCCTCATAGGACTGCTTTCATTGTCCCATGAGTTCTGCTTTGTTTTACTGGCATTATCATTTAACGGTAGAAACTAATTTCTAATTTCTTCTTTAATTTCGTCTGCATCCTATTGGTTGTTCTGGAGGATGTTATTTAATTTCCATGTGTTTACACAGTTTTTGTGGTTCCCTTTGCCATGGATTTCCAATTTTCTTACATTATAGTCTGATAATATGTGTGAGAAAATTTCAGTTCACTTGCATCTACTTAAGCAAGATATGTGGTTGGTTTTGGAGAATGTCACAAGTGCAGCTATGAAAAATGTGTATTTAGATGTGAGGTAGAACACTCTGAAAACTAAATCCATTTGTTCAAAAGTTTGATTTAATTGTAATATCTCATTGTTGATTTTTTGTCCAGTTGATCTATTTGTGACTGGGACATTGAGGTCCCCCGTTATAATTGTATTAGTGCTTTTTCCAGGTTCCTGTCACAACGAGTACTGTTTTCTATCCTTTGATTTTTTAGCCTCTGAATTTTTTTAATTAACTGTGTTTCTTGCATGCAGCATATTGTTGGATCTCGCTTCCTATGCATTTTGCCAGTCTATGCCTTTTGATTGGTGAATGGAGACCATTCACATTGGTGGTTATAACTGAAATGTATAGATTTATCCTGTCATGTTATTTTCCTGTTGCTGGCTCTCCCTTTTTCCCTCTCTGGTTAATTCTTTGTCTTGCCTGGTGAATTCTGTTGGTGTTCATGGAGTTGCAATCCTTGTCATTATGTCTTTCTAGAATATCTTTCAGAACATTTTGGGATGCTTGGCTTGGTGTTCATAAATTTCCTCAGGAGTTCTTTGTCGTGGCAGTGTCTTGTTTCTCTATCAATTTTGAAAGATAGTTTTGTGGATCCCTTTCTATTTTAAGAAATCTTCCTTTTCAGGATCGCTGACCACAATCCTGTCTTCTGTCTCTGAAATTCTGTGCTCATGTTGGCTCATTCTGCCACGTACACTTTCAATGAAATTTTTAGTCTCCTGGACATCTGTTTGAATCTGTTTCATGGATCTGATTTATTTCCTATGTTGAACATTCATGATTTCCATCACTTTCTTAAGCACCTCTATTTTTTAAAATCTGTATATACTTTACTAAGCATGTCTTTCCCTATGGTCACTGTCTCTATAGTTATTTGTGAAACTATTTCTGATTTGATTTTTGGCTAGTGCCTTGTTCACCAGCTTTGTTTCTTCCACTGTTAGCACTATAGAGTCCAGGTGGGCGAATTTCAAATGGTTCCACCACATTGCTGGTGAGTTTGCCTTTGGTGAGCTGGATGTTTAGGGTTGCAATCTTATTTGTGTCTTCTCATTTTCTTTCTTTTCTTTTTTTTATTTTTAGTTTAATTCCTGCACTGATGCTTATAAATTGCCCATGGTAAATAACTTCATTGCTAGTGTTTAGAACCATTAGGAAATGACTACTTCTCAAAGGTGTCTTCAGGGTTGAGTCTGTTGGAGGATCCTACGTCTTCACTGTATTGGGCATGAGAGGTTGCTACCCACTTGGCCCAGCCCCTGAATCTTTGGCACTGGCCTATAGTGCTTTTTATGACCCTTAGGCAAGCTCAGTCGTGGTATACCAGAACCCCTTATATCACCTTAGCTAAAGTGATACAATCAGCAATACAGTAGCATCGAACACAGCCTAGAAAATGACAAACTGAGGTAATTATTATCTTGCCAGCTTTAAATAAATTAACCAGATTTGTGGTTTTATAACAAACTGTAAAATGAACCAAAAAATTGTATGCAGTAAATAAGCCCTCAGTATGGCAATTCTACCCTGAGAGGAGAAAATTTAAAAGGAGTTGGGAAAAAATAGAGAAGTAGAAGAGGGAGAGATTAGAAGCAAAGCTGTAGAACAAAGGAAAATCATGCAAACTTTGAGAAACTAGTGAAGAAGACAGGTGAAGAAAGAAATAAAAACAAAAACAGAACAATAAAAAACTAGAAATTGGGGCTGGGGATTTAGCTCAGCGGCATAAGCGCCTGCCTTGCAAGCAGGCAGTCGTGAGTTCGATCCCTGGTACCGATAAAAACAAAAAAGACAAAAAACAAAAAAAACTAGAAATTGTGTTTATACTCATACAAAAGCAAGACCAAATAACAAAACACAAAAACAAGAAAAGAATTGGGTGTGGTGGTGCACGCCTGTAATCCCAGCACTTGAGAGGCTGAGGCAGGAGAATCCGGAGCCAGCCTGAACTGCATAGTAAAACCCTGTCTCAGAGAAACAAAAAAACAAAACAAAAAGAAGTCCACTTCCAAGTGTGTCTCCACCGTCAGTGGTACAGTGTAGGCAGTCAGTCTAGATGAATTGACTAATCCCAGTAAAGCAGCCATAACTTTATTGCCGGGCAGTGGATAATCCCAGTGAGCCTGCACATTAGTTCCTCTGAGGTTTAGGCTGGTTTTCGGCTGTGAGGCTGGCAGCAGTTTTGCTCAGCCCGCAGCAGTCCGTGCACCTCTTGCCTGCCTGAACTCAGCTCCCTGACCTTATCACTGGGAGCCACTAGATGGACCCAGCCAGAGCTGTTCTGAGCTCAGTAGTCATCTCCTGGGGAACATCTGAACCTGAATAACTCGCCGGCCACTGCAGTCCAGTGTGTCCACTGCTCCGTTCCCCTGGTACATCTCTCCGTGGAGGCCTCTGTGTGTCTGCAGGTTCAGGTCACCCCTCCATGCGTGAGTCGGGGCTCACCTACCACGTCCTCCTCCTTCTTCATTGCACCCCCCTCTCTTCACGGTCCCCATGAGCTCCACGAATCACTTCAGAACCTTCCTGGGTCGTGGGGACCCACTTCCCTCCTCCTCGTCTTCCTCTCCTTGTTATATTCCAGTGTCTGGACCCCCAATCTTGGAGAGGCTCTTTCTGTGCTACTCACTACACCATCATCTTTATTATCATTTTCTTAACTATTTTTCTAGGACCAAATTTTAACTTTTGATAAAGTTTAGTGGGGCTGGGGATTCAGCTCAGTGGCTTAAGTGCCTGCCTGGCAAGCACAAGTTCCTGAGTTCAATTTTTGGGACAAAAAGAAAAAAATTCCAAACTTGGGTCTCTGCCATGGTAAATGTATAGTAAACTATATGTAAGGTCAAGTTTAGTTTATTAATTTTCTTATTTATAAAATTTGTGTGTGTGCTGAGATTTCTGTTCAACTCTAGTTTTCTAGGTTTTGGTTTTATATGTAGGTCCAGCATTCATTCTGGTAATTTTATATCCAATGAAAGTAAAGATCAATATTCATTTCTCCGTACAGGTACGCAGTTGTAGCACAATTTGTTGAAAAGACTTTCTTTTCCCTGCTGAATTACTTTACCACTGCTTTTGAAAATCAATCGACCATATATGCATAGAACTATTTCTGGAGTCTCTGTTCTGTTCCAGGTGAAGATATCTGGTGGAATGTTTGAAATAGAGAATTAAAGCCTTTTTTTTTTTTTTT